TGCACGATGGCGGAGGGGCGGACGCCGCACGCAGCGCCGGCACAGAGAGGTAATGGGGGCCGGGGGGGAACGGGGGGCAGAAACGGGCGCCGGTGACACAAACGGGCGCCGGTGACACAAACGGGCGCCGGTGACACAAACGGGTGCCGGTGACACAAACGGGTGCCGGCGCCCCACAGCTCTGGCGGCGTCGGCTCGGCGTCGGCTCGGTGTCGCAGCCCCACGGAGGCCCCGCTGGCGCAGGTAGGAGGGGCCGTGGGACGCGGCCCTGTGTGGGGCGGGGGGCAGCGGGGGGCTGAGCGGGGCGGGGTGGTGGCACTGAGTGGCACCGGGGCAAACAGCCCGCAGCCGGGGATCCTCGGCCCCACATCAGCCCTCAGCCCCACGGTGACCTTCAGCCCCACGGCAACCCTCAGCCCCATAGCGACCCTCAGCCCCACATCAGCCCTCAGCCCCACAGCAACCCTCAGCCCCACAGCAACCCTCAGCCCCACAGTGACCTTCAGCCCCATGGTGACCCTCAGCCCCACAGTGACCCTCAGCCCCATGGCAACCTTCAGCCCCATACCAACCTTCAGCTCCATAGCGACCTTCAGCCCCACATCAGCCCTCAGCCCCACAACGACCCTCAGTCCCATGGCAACCTTCAGCCCCATACCAACCCTCAGCCCCACAGTGACCTTCAGCCCCACGGTGACCCTCAGCCCCACATCAGCCCTCAGCCCCACAGCGGCTCTCAGCCCCACACCAATCCTCAGCCCCACAACGACCTTCAGCCCCACAGCGACCCTCAGCCCTATGGTGACCTTCAGCCCCACAGCGACCTTCAGCCCCACAACAACCCTCAGCTCCACATCGACCCTCAGCCCCCTGGCGACCTTCAGCCCCACATCAGCTCTCAGCCCCACAACGACCTTCAGCCCCACAGCAACCTTCAGCCCCACATCAGCTGTCAGCCCCACAACGACCTTCAGCCCCACAGCGACCCTCAGCCCTACGGTGACCTTCAGCCCCACAGCGGCCTTCAGCCCCACAACAACCCTCAGCTCCACATCGACCCTCAGCCCCCTGGCGACCTTCAGCCCCACAGCGACTCTCAGCCCAACAACGACCCTCAGCCCCACAGCGACCCTCAGCCCTATGGTGACCTTCAGCCCCACAGCGACCTTCAGCCCCACAGCAACTCTCAGCCCCACATCAGCTCTCAGCCCCACAACGACCTTCAGCCCCACAGCGACCCTCAGCCCCCACTCGCGGAGCCCCACAGCGACAGCGATGGGGGCACAGAGGTGGAACGGGCAGCCAATGCACAGCCCGTGTGTAGGGCAGAGCCCCCCTGTGGGGCAGAGCCCATCTGTGGGGTCGGCAGTGTGGGGCTGCCCCACATCCCGAGCGCCATGGGGCCGCAGATGGCAGCGGAGCTCAGCGCCGTGCTGGGGGGGGACGCTGAGCTGCTGCAGGTAATGCTGGAATGGCCCTGCGACCCACACCAAAGCCACCCCAATCCACCCCAAATCGCCCCAACCCACCCCAATTCCCTCCGATTCACCTCAAATTGCCCCAGTCCAACTCAATCCACCCCCAAATCCACCCCAATTCACCCCAAATCGCCCCAATCCACCCCAATTCACCCCAAATCCCCTCAGTTCACCCAAATCGCCCCAACCCACCCCAGTTCCCTCCGATTCACACCAAATTGCCCCAATTCAACTCAATCCACCCCAAATCCACCCCAATTCCCTCCAATCCACCCCAAATCGCCCCAATCCACCTCAGTTCACCCTAAATTC